GGAAAAACAACCTCACCTTTCAGCTGTGGAAATGTATTTCAAATGCATAGTTTGGGTTTTTGCCTATTTTAAACAGTCTTCTGGGAAGTGACCTGTATGAGGTAAACATCAGCCTTGAGTTTATGCTCTGCATCTCTTCATGGAATGAAGTTGCTGAGTGAAGAAGGAAGGATTCTGCTAAACTGCTGAAATCCCACTGCAGTTTTCTTGCTACTTAGGAATTAAGAAACCTATAGACTCCTTAAAAAATAAAGAAAAGTCAGACAAATGATCAATGTGTAGGTTGAAGACATCTAGAATATTGGTCACACACTGTGGTGCTCAGGAAGAACTCCAGCAAGGTCATTATCCCCCTTTCTAACTCTCAGGCCAGGAATAGCATATCCTTCAATATCAAGAAATGCTAAAGGCACTAATGTAAGAGGCACAAACATTTCACTCTAAGGAAGAAGTAGAATATACCTCGAAAAAAATCATCTAATTGTGTAGGCAGCTAAGATTATGGGGTATGGCTTGCCTTTTCTTAGTGCTTTATGGAAACCCAGAAAGACCAGCCAATGAAAAAAGTACAGTCTGGTATGGACAGCCTTTACAAGTTGCAGTGGGCGCTTTGTTTCACAGCTTAGAAGGTAACACCAACCCTCCAGGTTGTGAGGCTAATGAAATCTGTCTTAAAATATTGACTCTCCTTTCCCACAAAGTCAGCAGTACAGCAACTATGGTCCTTCCAGATCTGTCTTGCACCTAGTCGCTTGGAGCATGGGCAGGGCAGAGTAATTTTTCTAGACGTATGGTGAAATTTGGTGTAAAAAGGAGGTAAACATTCTTGCCTTCATGAAACAACCAAGTAAGGTGAGTTGTGATAAATTCATGCAGCAACATGAGGTGCTAGACTCTGAGACACATTAGGGCTGCAAAAGTGTTTGAGATAGCTATCTCTCTGAGTTATTTGGCAGGATGCCTCCAGTTCCAGAAATATCATTTCCTATCAGCTCATGTGTCACTGCTGTTCCAGCTGATGAATGTGCAGACCGCCAGGTGGATGATTTGGAATTAGCTGTGAGTACTTGGTGGGAAGAATTGAATAAGAGGAGTGGGACAGATAAGAACTGCACAGCAATAAAAAAATAATTTCTTCCTCCTCTTTTAGCTTCACTATGCATTGCTGTCTCTGTGAAGACAGTTCTGGCTTTTTGTGATTCTTCGTGCTGTAATTTTTATCATTTTTGTTGGTACGTACAATATACCAATATACAGTTGGGAGTTGATGAAGGAGAAAATGAGCATCTAAAAGAGAAGAAAGTTTATCAAAATGCCTGAGGTCTTTTAATCTACAGCTGTACTTCTTGATTGGAAATTTACATTGAATTTGTGTGGCATGTGGCATACTTCAGTTCCACATTGCTGCTGGACATGGAGACAGAATAAACTAGCTGCAAGTTTTTATACATTTATTCTTGGAAGAATGGCTGTAAAAGAAGGAGCTGTTGATATGTTAGGCATCAGGGCCAGAAGAACTGAGAAGACTGAATTAAGCACAACAGTATTCTTATAAATTCTTAATTACCTTGAAAATGCTGCCCTCAATGCAGGAAAACACTATCCATCAACTTTTAATTGAAAGGGAAGAATAAGAAGTTTGACTTTAGATCCCCATGGGAAAAGTTGGTTATCTAAACAAACCCTCACAATCTTTTCTGTAACTTCAAAAGGAAGGAATGTAATGTGAAGATACTTGATTTTGTGGTTTTACATACATATCCTAATGCATTCATTTCACTAGTCAGTTGTTTTTGCCTTCTTCCCTTCCTTTCCCTTCCTTGGAAGAGTAAAAAGAAGTACTAAATAAGAAAAAGTAGTAGTTGAATAAATGCAAGTCTTATGTGGTAAGACCAAGGAAATTATGTGGTAAGAAAGTGTTCTAAAATGCTAAAAGGTGGTTCTTACATTTCTCATGGGACAGGGCACAGAAGTGTTAATTTCATTCAATTTGCGAAAGAAGCAAAAGAATATCTGGAGGTTAATGACGATATTCTTACTACTACAGAAAGATATGGCACATAAATATATGCAGACCACGTTATCTAGGTGTCTAGAATAATTGCATTTTGAATGATGCAGAGCCTAGAAAGATTATCTTCCCTGATCTCTGCAGTTTTTCAGTGGCTGCCAAAGCACAGAGCAGTGAAGCAGAGAGAGTAAACCAAGCAACTGGGAATAAGCAGAGGAATGCATTCTGCAACCTGCCAGCCTGCAGCCACTCACCTTACATACAAATCAATTTTTTGCACATAACCCCAGAGTAGAATATATTACACAGTAGAATATGTCCTCTGCTGTCAGTATAAGAGCAGAAGCCAGTTGTGTCTGGAGATTCTTTCTTGGTTGGGACCATGGAAAATAGTGGAATTATATGCTTCCACCTTCTGTTATGAAAGCACTCAGAAAACAGAGGCAATATGAATGGACTGAGCAGAATCATTCTTCCAAGGAAAGAGCTGATGGGTTGTATGCTTTTAGCAGAAACAGGTAGCCATGAGCAGACGTGTAAGAAAAGTATATGCTCATCATCTAAAATGGGAACATTCCACTTCCACATCTACTCCCAGGACATTCCCTCAAGTATGCAGCTGCTAAATAAACCTCACTTTACCTGTTCAAGATCTAATGGTGGATGGCACCTTCTTGTGCCTCATCTGTCTCAATACTCCCAACAAAATCAATTGATTGTGCAGAGGGTTTGCAGCATCAGGCCCCTAAAGGATAACTGTTTCCATTCTTTTATTTAGACTTGAAATATTTCTAGTATTCTTACAACATATGGCTGAAGGTGTCTGTTAGAGTAGACTAATTCATAATTGGCGACCAGGATATTCAACTTAAATTAAACACCTTCTTGCACTGTTGAAAATATAACTTTCATCCTTAAATAAAATCAGTACTTCCAAGTGCAGGACACAGAGGTTTACAGAGTAATAGATTTTACAGAGTAATTTTAATTTGCTACTGAGTGTTAGCAAAAATTTCAATATGTATTTTGAAATCAGAAGGTTATCATTGGTTTAGAAGACATCAGGTTGGGTGGATTTTGCAAAAAGTAAGGTTTTGATCCTGTCCCAAAATACTTCTTCTCTGTGCTTCTGCTTTGAATTTTGTCAGTCCTTAGAGAAGTGATTCCCCTTCCCCACATAAACCGAGCTCTGTTTAGACAAGTGAAAACCAGAAGAAAGTATTTTAAATACCTACAATTAACTTCTGTATTAGGAATTTTTTTTTCAATTAAAAACTCACTGGAAGCACAGAGAAACAGCAATGACAGACAGTGATGTTTCAAAGAACATGACAGCATTTCTTTTCCTTTAGAATTACCATTGCATTAGTTCTTGCTTGTTTGCAAGATTTTCATTCTGAGGAGAAAAGGAACTGCTCTTCGATCACATCTACTACTCATTTTTTACCAAGTACTATGTGGAAAAGACACACATTTTTTCAGATGATAAAAAAATTATCAGGTCCTCCAGAAGAGAAAAAAAATAGAATTTTGTTTTTAGGTATGTTTTAACTTTAATCATTTGTAACCATTTGTTATCCAAAGGGTAGTGAAAAGCTATTGCTATTTAGTTTTGAATCTGTTTTGTTTGCTTAATAACAATTATTGAGACAGTCTGTAAAAGACATAATCTAGTTTAACACTGTAAAACTAGTTTTTGAAAGAATGGGTAGTTTAAGAATTTAAAGGTCAAAAGCTTGAAAAATACAAAATAGCTTTTTAGGGTAAAATATAGTTGGTAGTTTAGGAAAAAAATGAAAACAAACTTTTTCTACATGTGGCAACTATTCCATGTTTAATCCAAGTGTGACAATTGAGTTCCCGTAATGCACTATCCAAGTCAAAAGTGTTCAGTCTTCAGCTCACACCCAGGGAACAACTGCCGTGAGTAATGATTGCAATATTTAACTTTATGGAAGGAACAAAAAATGTCCTTTGGCACACATGTTTTTCAATTTTGTAAAATAACTGAGAGAGAGAAAATAAGAATGCATGAGAGCACTTTTTAGTAAATTGCAATCTGAAGAAAGTCACCTATTCCTAGTGCTATTATATAGTGATGTTTACTCATGGCCTATCAACTATGATCTGCTACAATGACACAAACAAGCAGGAATCTTGTCCTGCTTCAAGTAGAGTACTTTAGAAATCAATGACCATCCTGTGTTTAACCAGTCATAAAAAAGACAGTTAAAAGCTTGAAAAACTGTAGAAGTTATGCCTACAGCTGCCTCAGAGATAGGCAAGTCTTTTATTTATATCAAAATAATAGCTTTCTTATAACTCTGCCTTTTCACCTTAAGTTAAAACCAATACGTGTAGGTAAGTGATTAATTCCATGAATCCCAGACTTTTGCAGAAAGTAACGTCCATGTTTTGATTCCACCAGAGACATTTCTTACTGTCTTTTGGTGGTTTCTCTATAGCAAGCAGGTCATCAATTAAATATTTCCCCAAACCTATGGGATATAGCTCAAGCACGTTTAAATACAAATGAATGGTTTTGTTGGCTTTGGCTTATGTGCCAGTGCCAGTGTATGTTTCTCTGAGCCTCAGGGATATGGCAGCATTTTGAAGAAAGTATGGGAATGAAGAACAAAAGTGACATATTTAACTTTTGCCTGAATTGTGTATAGCTTCTATGCCAAGGGAGAATATTGAAGATTCTAATATACAGTAATTATTCATAAACATTGCTTACACTACAAATTCAGCTGAATTTTGTAAGAATCTTTTCCTTAAAATGAATAGCAGTAAGGAGAGAATTCTTCCATGTTTTTCTTTTTCAGGCAATTACATATTAAAATTCTTCATCAGGCTCTGTGATGGTGAAGGTTAATGTGGCCTTTATAATTTGAGATGAAACTGACCGTGTCCTTCACTTTTTCTGCACTTTCACCATCCCTCTGCACTGTGAAAACACAGCAGTCTTCACCACTACAGGCAACATCTAAAGATAGAGGTATCCAACCCAGTAGACCAGGTTAAATAGCAGGAAGGATGTAGGAAAAAAGACCCTAGAGTAAGAGTCCAGTTCTAAGATGTCTATGTGAATCCGTCCTCTCCTCCATGAGCCTGATTTACACTCTTCGTAACAACAGAAAAAACTCTGGCAGTCTTTCCCATCCAGACATTCATAGACACACGCATCTTCAAATTCTTGCCAATACATGGCATTGTTCAATGTGATGACTGTAGTTGGTGGTCTCATATCAAGTACAGAATAATTCTGAGAAGAGAAAAAGAAACCAACAGTTTGATAAACTTCCATGGATTATGCAGATCACAATTAATAACCATGGGAAAAAATCACAGGATCTGGGAATAAGAGGTCGATACTATAGGAATTCTAGATTCGGGGATCATCTTTCTTTCCCTCAAAAGATGCCTTTTCAGATTAATATCCGTAGAGAGATTGTGAAGTGGCAAGTTAAATAATTCTAGGTGTATTTTCTACTTGGGTAACTCAAGCATATATTGCCTGGTAATAATTTTTTCACACTTAGGAGTTCACTTGCCTGTCAGAATATTATTTGCAAATTGCTTTAAACATTTGCAGCTACTACATTTAAGAATGGACTCTGAAAAATAAGGAAGATGTCCCCCCTCCCCATTTAATTACAGAATGGTCTTCACTTAGTATAGCTGCATTCACTGCCTCTCAACTTTAGCATGATTTATAAAAACAGATATGGTCAGCAATAGATAGTGATGATTTCAGTACAGTATTTCAAAAGGCCATCCCTAGGCATGTCCCCTTAGTGCTTATCACACTACCCATGCTCAGAAATAGGGCACTTTGATATCACACATCCTCACAGTACCACTCATGCCTACAGACCTCTCCTTCTTCAATGTACTCCCTATTTACACTTTGTCAGCTTTTCCGTCACACCGTTTCCTTTTCATGAAAGGTGCTTTCTCACGATAGTCTCCTCTCTCATCAAGCTACCCGTTCCATCCTCACAAATGTCACCTCCTCCATTGGCATCACCCGGAAAGGTCCCATCATCTTTGCTGCCTGTCTGCACCGCCGTGACAAAGCAGACTCCAGCCCTGTCAGCACCATTTTCTCCACCTCGGGGGCCCTTCCTCTCCCTGTGATTGCACTGAGCATTGCCTTTGCCTGCAAGAGCATATCGGGTATGTACTACCAAGCTAGACATGCCTCTGCCTCATGCCTGCTTGCATTATGGAGGGTGCTCTGGGCCACTGCTTCCACACTTGCTATAGAAATTATGCAACATTTCCTGTTGAAGGGGCGTATCTGAAAACTTTCATTCTGTATGTGAAACAGATCAGTGATATGATTGATGTGCCTGCAGGGAAATTTTCCTTTTTCTATTGACTTTGTTTTCTTTCTACAAATCCTTTAATTTGGCAGATGATAATATTACGCATCTCATTAAATTGCTGGTCCCTGAGCTAAGATCTTGATGTGGCATCCCTCTGCTTAGATGTTGGCATCTCCAACATAGATAACTACATCTGAACAACTGCCCTATGATATCCAGCCAATTGCTTCTAGGGCACAATTCATCTCATCATAAGTAGATGGCTAAAATCTCTCAGGTTCATTGTGCTCTGGACTGTAAACAGATTGCAGTTTAGAAGCAGATTATTGCAGATCTATTTGTTGTGAATGACTTTATGTCTGAGATTAGATGACACAAATCACGCCTGCATGGTCTTCTCTCTCATCTGTAATGTTTCAGGTGGCTGGTATCAGAGCTTTACAATGTGCTGCCACATGGAAAAGGTCTAAGATTATTGTACAAGCAATCATTTTTTGACTGTGGCACTTTGGAGAGAAAAGCAGCTATGGCAGAAGTATACATGGAATTCTGCTATACCACTGTGTCACATATTGTTCATTTCTTGCAGACCTTTATGAAAAATTCCTATGCTTGGCTACAATATTTATGATAAGAAGAAAAAAGCCTAATTTAGATCTCTACAGATTATTTTGGTAAGTGAAAAGAAAGAAGTGCCCTGGTTCTGCAAAGGAAACTTTCTCATGTATCAATAGCCTGGGGATTTGTTGTTGTTTTGTTGTATCAACTATCTGCTCAAGACAGAAGATAAAATAAATGCCCTGATAATACAGAGAGGTTAATATGGTTGCTTTAATCTCTGTCAGTTAGGAGAGGTCCTGAAGTAACTAGATACTAGGTGAAGGTGGATGGTACCCACTGTGTCCTGTGCGTCTTGCTGAGCTGGTGTTGGGAGGAGAGGGGTGCACGCACAGTGGGCACCAGCCCAGTACCACCTGAGAGCTCTGGCAAGGCAAGGCACCTGAGAGGTGCCTTGGACAAGCCAGTTCAGATGCAGTGTTAAACACACTTAATAAAATAATTTCAGGCAAGGTATAAGTGTATTCTCTAGGAGAAAAACAAGGGGTGGGATTACCTGAACATGGATTTACTAAGATTAATAAATTTCACCTTTTAGGTGGCATCACTAGAAGGCTGGAAAAGACAAGATGATACCTTGAGAGTCAGAGACACTGCTTATTTTATTCAGTTTATGCTACAATTTGAACATGGAAGTTTATGTATAGAGCAATGCCCTGCTCAATATCTGTCTTATAGTGAAAAAAGAAAATAAAAGAGTAAAAAAACTTGAAAAGGCTGCAGATAATTTCCAAGCAGATCAGACTGACTAGATCTAGACTAAGAATGTTAAACCCTACTGTAATTTCAATTGTGTATCTTCTTCCTTTTTTTTTTTTTTAGTTGGAAATTGGAAAGTGCTGCTACCCATTCAATGTGCTTTGTTAACTTCATCTTTCAGAAAAGTCTGTCCAAGGAGTGGCAGCAGTAGCCAATGTATAAATGCAACGCTTGCAGTAAACCATTCATTGTCAATAAGCAAACTTTCAATGTCATATGAGCTCTTTAAATATGTCAGAAAACTCATGTAAAAAAAAAGAAGTGTATAACATTATTTGTAAAAGGTACGATAGTAACATGGAGCTAGCAGTTGTAAATGATAAACTTCAGCATATCCAAACCAAGGAATGCAAAAGCAATGGTTTAGTTCTGTCCCTGTTCTTATTTGGATCTGATAGCTGGGAAGAAGGCCAGTCAACCAGCTGATTAACTGGCCCTTTGCATGCTTTATATTTATATATATTATAGTAGGCATTCCAGTTTCAGATTTCATACAACTTAGGGATACAATTTTGTGCTCAGTTTCAACTTTATTACCTTTGTACATATATAAATAGTTATCTAGAAGTTTGGGGACTAGAATTTATTCCATTTGTACGTATAATACAACTAACTGTGTTCAACTTGTGTGCCTAAATTATTTGAAAATCCACCTGAAAGCTTGCTAAAGATTTTACAGGTATGCATAAATGAATTATTTTCTATGAAACTCAGTTAAAACCCCATATAAATTTATGACATAACTTGTGCTTATTACTTTTTTATAAAATGTAATGAGAAACTGCAGTATTATATAAAGCAGACACACAAAATTTCTGAGATAAAAATAACAAACAATGTTCTACACTTGACCCTTCTCCCTCCCAAATCATTTGGTAAGTCCTTATAGAAAGAGGCAGCTATGTTCCTGTGCCACAGCCAAAACCAAACTGACCTTTTAACAAAAAAGCAAAATAGCATTTATAGTGAAATCAGGGTAAAGCGTAACATAACATTACAGCTTTCTTGGGAATTATTGCCAACCAATCATTGCCTACATTCATGCCTCCATTGCTCTCACTGAATAAAATAGTTTACTTACCATCATGTGACCAAAACTGACATCGGGTAGCTTAAATTAAGACAACAAAAGAATTACTCAGAAGAAAACATACTTATGTCTTCATTTGCATCTAATGATGAATAGTGTTTCTTAAACCAAACCTTTAAATGCATTTGTCTGTAAAACACTTCATGCTGAGTATTCTATATATTCAGCATAATATTCTGTACACCTTAAAACTGCATGAAACCTCAACAGAATGCACACCTAATTTTCCATCCACTTTAAATCTCTATTCAACCCATTACATTTATTTATTTAGCAAACAATAGCTAAGTTAGTATTTGTTCTTGTATTAACTTAAATCTCATCAAAGTTGCATGCTTTCCCTCATATTCATACACATGTCTGGAAATACATCCTACTCACAAAGATACTCATGACTTTTTCTTTCAGTCTTTCTGTAGGATGGCAATTTTAGTTTGATCATTAGCAAGTTCATTTTGATTGTCTCATATATTTCTTTTGGTAACACTCTTTTGCCTTTTGTGTACAATGCATTTTTACAAAAAGCTATTAGAGGTTTAATGGAGTTTTCATTGACTAAGTCTATGGCTTTCTAGGCTTTCTCTAATTCCATACTTGTTTCAGCTTTTCCTTCATTATTTCTTCATTCAATCATTTTCTATAGCTCTTCATTCAATCCCTTTTTACCTTGTAACCTATTATTCCCTGAATTTAGCCTCTCTCTCTTCAATTTCCTCATTCACATTTTTCCTATTTGGCTTTGTATTTCTGATTTCAAATATCCTTATTTCCTCCATTGCACAAAATGGCATCCAGCATCTCCAACTACTGACCTCAAACACATAAAATTTTTGACTGATCTTAAATGGGCAACCCACTTCACCTTCCCTATGTTTACACTAAGATTTTTTTTCTCCATTGTACTACCCCCTCTCATTCTCATAGTTAATTACGAAGTACACCAGGCAATTCTTCCTGCATGACTGTTTTAATTGATTCTAAATAAACAGCTTTTGTGTGTGTCTGGGTGTTACTTCTGGAAGTGTCTTTTTGGCCAAAAATGCAGCCATGTATAAAGCCTTTGTAAATGACCTCCTCTGGTTTTGTACCTAGGAAAAGTCCCCTTTGTGCATAGGGCTAAAAACAAGTGCTGGTTCCCAGTGGAGACATTGAAATCCTGTTTGTAAAGCTCATAAATATTTCTAGACCTGTTAAGCCATGAAATAGCAGATGCATTTAATATACATTGATGTGCATATATTTGTATAACAAGCTATGCAATCTGTTTCAGTGGGAGTCCTTTATGACTACCAGCACAGTAATTGGAGGACGAAAGACATGTAGGCAGGGTTGCTGCTTCATGGTCAGCAGGCTACTTCTGTTAGGAACAGATCTCACTCAACAGGCACATAACTGCTTCTACTATTACTGCGGGTAACTATTTTCCATCAGCTTTCAGGGCAGATCACACCAAAACTGGGAAGAGCTCAGAGGAGTCAAGTATCATGGGATTACAGGCTGTCATTGAATGATTCTCTGCTCTCTGAGCCAGACACATGCTAGAAAAGAAATTAAATGCTTCCATCTTACCGACTTTTTCTTCTTAGTACAGTTTGGTTTCCTACAACTTGAGTAGTAGTTGAGGGTTGCATACTCCATCAGAGCAGCAAAGACAAAGAGGAAGCATACAGTCACAAACAAATCCATAGCAGTGACATAGGAGACACGAGGTAATGACTTTCTCGCAATGGTACTCAAAGTTGTCATGGTCAATACCGTGGTGATGCCTGCAGAGAGAAACTTCATTTAATTGTATGCAACATCATTTCTCGATGTCACAGAAGAATCTTTGGAAACAAACATACAAAACAGAAATCCAAAGTGTACCCAAATAATTCATTAATTTCATTTGGTGGTATCACAAATAATGAAAAATAAAATCAATAGAGCCAGTGGTATTTTGTAAATAAAGATTTCCTCAGCTGTTTATATTCAACTTTTGAAAAGTGACATTCCCGTGCCTCTCAATATGCTTTTCCTCATCTCTTCCTTTTTCAGGTCCCGGTTAGGTTGAGATGGGAGTGAAGGAGAAGGAGACAGTGAAGAAATTTTTAAGTGTAACACAGAAAAGATACTAAACCCAGAAAAATAAAAAATAAGAAACCTAGAAAACAATGAAGGAAACATGGTCTTTTTCACAGCAGTACTGCTCTCATGAAAAATCTTGTGCTCAAAAAAGAAAAAAGGGGGGAGAAAAAAGAAAAGAAAAGAAATTTTGCTGCAAAGTTCTGACCATGAGTTTTGAAAATATGTTTTCACACTGCTGCTTCCTTGGGAGTCCTCCACTGCTATTTTCCTTCTGAGTAAGGGAAAACAGACTCTCCTACAAACTTCAGATGTAACCTTAATGGAAATAGCCTTTTTAATTCATACAAAGCATCACATCTTAGATTGATTTAGTAATAATGAATATAATGGGAATTACTTAGTGTGAAATATCCTGAAACAATAAAACCAGTCCTAGAATGAAATCGGTGGGGTGTCAGTTATTTAGCTGATGGTAATTCATATAATTTCTCTTCATTCCTGAGGAATAGAAGTCTTTTCATGCCTGCTTTGGACTGATGCTTTTAATCATTTGTTATGAGCTGCAAGCCTTCTGAAAGAAAAAAATAAAACTCCTCAATGGCTTGAGAAGAAAAATAAAGCTCTCACTTCAATAAACCTCAAGAGAGAACCTGTTCTAAAAACAACATAACCATAAGGTAATCTTTCTTTTTATAGTTAAAGTGATATTTTGCAATGGTATGCAGTGTTTGAAATGACAGGCAATGGCTGAAATTATGCCTTATAGTAAAATTACTTCCCACAAATGGCACTCTGGAGAGAAAGAAATATCTGTGGATTACTTTTGACTACTTTCTGTTTATGAAGGAATGCCCACCTCTGATTTGTAGTGTTTGATAAAAACTGCAGCAATTCGCAAAAATAACTCTCCCTGTTCAAACCCTCAAAAAGTCCCTGGAAGAGCCAGAAGGCAGTTTATTACCTGGGCCTTGACCTTCTTCTACATGGAATAATAACTAATTGTATTCCTTAAACATCCACTATCCAGAAACAAACAAACAAACTAACTAACAAACAAAGAATTGTTGAAAAAACACAACCCAATAATCAAGATGAAACCAGTGCTGGTAGGAAGTGAGAAATGTAGACTTTGTGTGCACCTTGGACATCTAAAAGCAATGGGGAAAATATGTCTGTTTTCTGTCAGCTGTTGCACATCCCAGTATGAGCACATGTAGCTGGCATGATCCAGTAACCTCTCCAGACCCTTCAGCAACAGTTCTGTAGCTAGCTGATTGTGGTGGTTTAACCCCAGCCACAACTAAGCAACACCCAGCTGCTCCACTCCCCCTGCCCCGGTGGGATGGGGAAGAGAGTCGGAAGAGTAAGAGTGAGAAAACTCCTGGGTTGAGATAAGAACAGTTTAATAATTGAAATAAAATAAAGTAAAATAGTAATAATAATAATAACAGTAATAACAATATACAAAGCAAGTGATGCACAATGCAATTGCTCACCACCCACCAACCGATACCCAGACAGTTCCCGAGCAGCGATCGCTGCTCCCCGGCCAACCCCCCCCAGTTTATATACTGACCATGACATCATATGGTATGGAATAGCCCTTTGGTCAGATTGGATCAACTATTCTGGCTGTGCCCCCTCCCAGTTTCTTGTGCACCTGGCGGAGCATGGGAAGCTGCAAAGTCCTTGCCTAGCATAAGCACTACTTAGTAACAACTAAAAACATCAGTGTGTTATCAACATTCTTCTCCTACTAAATCCAAAGCACAGCACTATGCCTGCTACTAGGAAGAAAATTAACTCTATCCCAGCTGAAACCAGGACACTGATACTTTGGAAAAGCTCCAGAGACAAACCCCATACTTAGCCATTCATCATGGTAGTCAACTGCAGAGATGTCCAACTGCAAAAGGTGGTGACTCACTAGCCTTGTTTTGGCCCTTACTAAGTGTAGGTTAATTAGTCTTTCTGTATGACCATGACTCAGGCCTTGCGAGTCACTAACTTCAGAAGAACTGCACCCAGACTATGACATACTCTACAATATGAAATTAAGTTCTTTAACACTTTCTAACCCACTTTTAGATCTCTAACACAAATCTGTCCTTTTCAGAACTACATGTACATGCACCTGCTCTCAGGTATTTTACTACCTTTAAAAAATTCCTCAAAACCTGTAGTCTTCTTCCAGCACAGTGTCCTTCTTAGCTGGACTCAAGGGCAAGTTTTCATTTCCCACTCATCCTGTGATAGGGTCTCAGATTACTTTGGGACACTTTTTTTATTAAAATGTAAAAGAGAAATAAAAGGGGAAAAAAGCTTGCAATGCTCAAAAACATTTTTCGCAAAGGTCTGCATCTTTTCTACTGAATGCTGTATTGACAATGTACTATTTTTCCTCTATTTTTACTGAAATGGATGTATAACTTTGTATTTGTGACAAGAAGTATTGCGCAGATATCTGTAATGACAACCAGCTGCCTAAGTGAATATGGACAGGAAGGCAGAGAAGTGAATGAAAAATTACCATTAGCCTCTGTAGTTAAGTATAGAAATCCCCAACTCAGCCTGAGTTCTATATCCATGCCTTAAGCCTGAATGTGAAATGCCTACCTAAATCATACCTGAGACTGTGAAAACCTAGGTGAGAACTAAGCAAAACCAGCCCAGTAAATCGTGTTGTAAATGCCACACTGATACAGAATGTGGGAGCTTTGGGTAGCTCCAGACTAATTTTAGCTGATTGAAACAAAGTAAGTTCTACTAAATTTATAGACACAGCAATGGTGTAAGATTTATTTTGGTTTTAAGATATTAATAGTGTCTATCCTCAGTCTCTTTGACAACAAATCACATTTTGCTACCAGAGTATAAAACCTTGGGGAAAGGAAAGTTTAGCATTATCACAAGCCATCATAGTTTCTGGATTATATGTCACATTTCAAATTATGGCAAGGGCATGAGACAAGATTGCTGAGCACATAGACGGAAACATCCAAAGGTAAAATAAACATATTTTTACTTCTATTATTTATGCAAAACATTTGATGATATGAAATCCAATAGAAAAGCATCATTCTTCATTTAAGCTGAGGCTTGAACTTGGATCCCAGCTCACACCATAAACAAGCAAGGAGTTTTTGAAATAATAAAAATTCTACCCACTGTATCAATTTTACATTTGACACATAGGCACAAGTTTTGGAATATTAAAATGAGTCTTACGGGGATACATACATAGGGCAAAGAGAAAGAAGGTGCACCAGATGATAGTTTTGTATTCCTATATATTTACAAGTTGGAATATACAGATATGCATATTTGAATAAAATGCAGCACCCATTATTTCCAAAAATAGCTAGACTCCATACCCTTAGCTCATTTTATCTCTCATGCTAAGAAAATTCTGTTTGTTGAGTGGTTTCAAATGCAATAAACCTTGCCAGATGAAATTGTTAAGTCTCTCACTTTGGGGAGGCTCATATGGTAAAGCGAGCTTTGTATCTGTTATTGAAATTCACAGTGCTCTTGAACTGTCTGTTTCAACAGAATTTTAATATCAGCCACAGACAGCTTTGAATTAACCTGGCTTCAAAATTTTCAGGTAGACAGGTGTAAGCAGGAGCTTACAAGTTTGTGTATAAATACTGTTTTGTGACATTTATATTCTCTGAGCAAATTCCATACCAAAGACACTGTTTGACAAATCAAAAAGGACTGTCTGGGAGACCAAATGATGCAGGAATACATAATGCATGAGCACACTTTAACCTTTAGATCATTGGTCTAAACAGTTATTTAAAGTTATTACTGTTTGAAAGCTCCTTACTAGACAACAGTATGCAAAGTGAGGCAGCAGGAGCTTCAGTGTTAGAAACTCTTTGGTCGGTGAGGCTTATTTTTTCTTATTTTCCTAAGGGTATGTTGATGGGACACTGGAGAAAAGGTGTACTGCTTTTAACCATACTATCGCTTGTTTATAAACTTAATTTCTCCACCTTTTGCTCTGGCATGTGTTTTGATCATTTGCTTGTTTTTCTAGTGAATGAGCTTAAGATGGAATGACAAGGAGAACAATGTTCATTTTTTTATTAAACGTCATCTGTATCTTCTTTTACATCAACACATTGCTGGCCTTGATATCCGCTGTATTTTTTTAAACTGCAGTTTGAAGTTGCTCTGTAGTAACTGCCTAGTCCTATTACATATTATACCAATTTTGAAAAAGCAGGGGGAAACTGGGATGAAAGCTTCAGTTTAACTTAATTCCCTTCATTTTCAAGGAAAACAACCTATTCTTTTCCAGATCATAACTTTTCTTCAGACACTTGCTGGCTGCTCTTGACTGTGAACTTTGGAATAAGATCATTTTGATTACTAGAGAAAAGCAAAACCAGCAGAGAGCCATTTTTTTCTCTCTCTCTCTCTGAATGGAGGGCAGAATAACCTGGGATCAGAAAACACAGTTCTCATCCAGCACTCAAATTCTATTTCCAGTTTCCCACTGACTCTTCAGGTGGCCTGGAATGAGTCATGTTGCCACTCTGGGCCTCAGCCCCTCAAACTGCATGTGGAAAGGGGACTATGATGCCAGATTTTTAAAGAGCACTTCGATGCCTCTGGACAGTGCTGCTGAAAGGATCCTTATGGTCCCATTTTTTTCTGCAGAGCCAAATACCCTCATTGCATTTGTTTTTCCCAGCACAGAAATAGCTTATCATTTAGCATTATTATCAAGGGGGTAAAACCTGTCTTTTATGTAACTGTGAATAGTTGCCAATAGCTTAGGAAATTACTCATTAATTTGAGAGAGTGAAATATTTCCCTGATGCTAGCCCTTTACATTAATGTAGCTTTACCTGGAGCAGGTTTGGTGCACAGAGTCTACAATCCATTGCAACTAATTAGTAGGACAATTTCAGTGTTTTGCTTTTGGCTGTATTACTCACAATTTCACCATGTACCACTATCCAAACGTGGATGTATGCTGCTGCACAGACAGATTTATAAGTTGCGTTATACAAGCAGACCTACAGTGAACTGGGAACGTATGCTTACTGCACCCCAAGAGTCAACAGGCCATTGCTGATTTGGGAGCAACAGCACTCTGTGCGCAAAAAGATGTGACCCATGTATATATTATTTTCTTGTCATTTGACTTTATTTATAAAAAAAATTCGGTTTTAGCCCAGTAATTTAATTATTTTTCAGAGTTTTAGGAGTTAGTCATGATAGCCATTGAATATAGCCTTGGAACATCTCATTTTTGTGTTCTTACCTCAAATTCATGACCTCAGTATATGAATACATTTTTTTCTCTGAAGTTCCGACTGGCTGAGGGAGTGAGGTAGGGAGAGTTACACTCTTATGACTAGTGTTCTAACCTACTTCTGTGTCTAATTAATTGGAAAATGGAGCTGTGTGGTGTGGCAAACTGCCCTCAGGGACAGGGTATGAACACTGCTTCTGGAAAATTAGTAATGCAGACTGTTAGACACCTTTTCTCCCTTTTCTCTTAAGCATTGTGAAGGATGGTCAATCTTTCCTTACCTCCACTGAGTCACCCAATTTAAGAAGAAAAGAGTTCAGCAGAGAAGTGTGTTAAAGGCCATTTGCTCAATTTTCTGGCCGCCAGAAGAAAGTCTACACAGCCAGGAACAGGCAGTCATACAGCTGCTCTGTCCTCACCTTTGTGTCATCTTCATGCTGCCCTGGAGGTGGAGGGGGTCACAGAATAACTTAGGGTCTCAGGGTCCATCATGTTGCTGGAGCCACAGTGTAAAGGCACTTTGGCACTCACATGAAGGGAGTGAAGACTGAATATTCCTTTCTTGGAAAATAACCTCAGAAAACAGGACTCACATGACACCAGATGACTTATAATGATCAGAAGTGCTACATTTGTTAATTTTACAAACTCCTGGAGCAAATGCAGGTTATGGTTTGTGCTGACCTCACGCAAAATGGGTTTTAATACAGAATTATCTGTAAAGCGTGAACCAGTGTTGGCTGCTTGCAGTTGTCTTATTACAGGTTTTCTTGCACTTTTCTTTCTACTGATCCTGTTCCATGGCTCCATGTCATGGAGCTGTTCTTGGTTTGAAAGGATGCCCCTCGCCACTCACGAAGAATCAAAGCTGATACAACCTCCCCCTAGGTAGATGCCTAAGGACTGATAGCACAAATGGCTGGCATGCAGCTTCATTGATGAAATAAAGGTGTGGCTAGTGAGGGAGTTACACTTAGAGGATATTTTTGGTAATGTATTTCTTCTATCATTCAGCTGAAAGTTACTAAGCTATTGAAGCATTAGAAGTTTTGGGAGGAAAAATATTTGTAGCCCAGGCCTTGTGGACCCTGAATAGATGACCGTAAGTTTTTTGTATGAGTGAAGGATTTAGAAATTAGGATCAGACTTCTGGACAAGTTCAAGAGACTTAGCAGCTAAAATCTCATTCAGAGTGAATGGACTTCAAAGTGTCTTTAGCACTTCATTTTTATTTTTCCCTTCAGGGCCTTTATGCTAGAAACGATAGCAACCTCAAAACTGGTGGTTGCTCAGTTTTATTAGTGCAGGAGAGAGACAGACTGAAACAGGACAAGTAATTTTGAACAACTGTATAAAGGCTGTGTTGTTAAACAAGGTGTCTTCCTCCTGAGATCAAGTAGAGCACCTCTACATGGTGTTTGAAAGAGAGGTAACAGAAATGGATTCACATATAAATAACCACCATTTCTGGTAAATGCTTAGTTGCTTGGATGAAAAAGAATGAGGACTACTGAGTACCCTTGGTCAGCTGTTTTGGGGAGTGGGAGACAGAGGTGGTTGGTACAGATGACCTCTCTTATACTGTGGCTGAACGAAGGCTTGTTAGCACACAGCAGCACTCGAGAGCACCATGCCTGGTGCAGGCTGCCTTCACATGTCCTCCAAGGAGGCTCAGCCTGTTCACAGCCCTTGTCCTCCAGTCTTTTCTTGCAGCAGTATCATGCCCTCCAACCTGGGGACTCGGTTGCTCCTACAAATGCTTCCCGTCTGACTTCAGTCCAAAAAGCCAGGCAGGTCAGTTTTTAATAATTTGTTGTTTCAAACTGAAACGATTTGGAGAGTCCAGCTGGTTAAGTGGAGATGGTAACAAACTCCAGCAAGAGGAAGCAATGAATAGCTGGGAATGGTAATCTCCATGCTTGAAAACAGACAAGTAAACCTTGACAAAGCCTCCCCTTTTTTACTAGACTGGTAGATTTCTGAATCAGTTAGTATTGGCAGCCCTCGCAACCACAGTCTGGACTAAAATGTTGTTTTTCCTTCAGTTCTGATGTACACCTATAATTAGCTAGTATATAGCCCTATGCCCTTGATGCTAGCAAAACCTGCAGGTTTTCCTATAAACATAAGAATAAATCAGCATTTCGAAGTGTATCCTAAAGCACAACGCCAAAATGCACACACTGGTCCTGACGTAAATGAACTGCTGGAAAACCTATACTAGCATAAATCTCCACAAACTATGAAAAATATCTGTACACCTAGTGTAGAGATTAACCACATCCAAGCAAGCTTCTCATGATTTAATATTACTATATGCCACTGTTTTCTGTATATATAAGACATAATGTTTTGTGGGAGAGAGTTTCAGAAGGGAAGGAAGCCAGCAGTGCAATTAATTTATTCTTCAAAAATGTCACTAAAATACCATACTGAGTACAAGGAGACAGACTTTAATTCTAGAATATTATGCAAAATAGGTGTCAGTGTCATTCCAAAGGGTCAGGGTAGTTTACTTTTAGTTACCCTCTTAAAGGCAGAAAATCAGGGGCTTGAGTGATAAATAGATCTGGGTCTGCAAGATGCGGTAGCAATAATCCAAAGCATACAGCTAGTGGTCTCTTTGAAAAGAAGCTGACATTTTCAAATGATAGTGTAGAAACTACACAAAGAGAGCAGAAAAGGGAATTATTAACAACTTACCTAATGCTGTTCTTGCTGGTGTAGCATCTTTTTTAATCCAAAAGGATACCCAGGAAAGAACAACTGTTAATATACAGGGAATGTATGTTTGAATAGTAAAGTATCCCATTCTTCTACTTAAGTCGAAGTATATAGTCATGACTACATAATCACCTGCAATAATAACACAGAAAATAAATTGGCATTTTGGTGAGATACAGACAGTTGTTCATTGAGCTGCTAATTCTTTAAGCTTCATAAAAACACTGCATATGAAATATTTCTTAGTGTTTCAAGAGCATCTGTGCAGCAATGCTCACTTGAAATAGAATTCAAATAAACCTTTTGATTCTAATTTCCTTTAGTTTTAGGTTTCTGTGGAAATATTGACCTATTTGGAAAGGCAGAGGCTCTCAGTAATCATACTGGATGAGTAAACTTTTGAAAGGCATCTTGGCTTTCCAGATTTGGTATTTCCGGATGGCTCCATGACCACAAATATGAAGCTACTATCATTCACCAGATTCTGTAACTAAGGCACACAAAATCCCTCCTTCTGCAAGCTGTGTCTTCGCTGCCCTAATTTCAGTTTTGAGTGACTTCTGTTATCTTCTTCTGAGATATGAATCAGGCAGTAGGGGTCTTTATGGCAAGTGTAGTGTGCACATGAGTATGCCTTTATATAAGAAGTCATTTATAGACACTAGAGCCTCAATACTGGCAAGAAAGGTCAGACTGCATACTTTTAAAGGACTGATCATTAAAAATCAAGAGTCTTTTTTTGTCAGCATTCCTCCATTTCAAAGCAGTTGTGGTCACTTGTAGTGTCTGTAAACCTTCAGAAGGTGAGCCTGGATATAAAGTTTATTACTGTGCTCTGATTCATAAAATCAAGAGCTCAGTAAGAAGGCTGGTTTATCTCACACTGTATAATTTTCTTCACAGTCTTCTGCTAACCCTTGTGACTCCACAGGGGATAATAATCTGTGTCTCTCTAACCAGTAGAGGCTACTGACCTTATCACCTCTCTCCCTACTAACAGCTCCCTCAGCTTCATAGATGTTAACTATCCTTTTCTCTCAGACAGTCACAGTGATTAACAATAATGAAACTGAACTGAGACCAATTTCTGTACTTCGCTTGAAGTATGTTGTTTCCATTTCAGATGTGAAAAAGAGTTTATATGCCTGAGAACTTTTATGGGGTTTTGTCTGACTACATCAGACCTGACCTAATAAATTATATTGATTCTTGTTACCAACCTTGACTTTCTAGAATATGATATTTGCAGAAGACATCATTTGCAATAGGTAGGTAAGTCTGTCCTGTTACAGGAAACCATCAGAAGACTGAAGAAATTGGTAGCACAGAGGCATTAATCCCGAAAGGAATGTACATACAACTCACACAAATAGAAATACAGTGGGTTCATCAGGAGTTGAGACAAATTAAAGCTTAGTGTTCCGGTAACAGAGAGCATATGAACAAAGGATATTTTGACTATTGCTAAATATTACATAGAAAATAAATTAATTCAGTAAAAATAACTTCCACCCAAAGAATCTCTGAGGGCCACTGTAAAATGAGTGAACTACCATAAGCTACAAAGTCAAAGGTGAATAAAAATCTGAGGGTGGGACTGGGGAGAGAAACCTGGAGTAATGAGTTAGAAGGAAAAGTTTCTATGTGGTAAGTACATAATTTTGAGACAGATATATTTGAAAGAGGTTGATAAGCCTGTGGGTACTTTCATCATGCCTCTGTTAGATGAACACGTACATTTTCATGACTACTGTGGTGGTAAAAAGCGTGTGACCCCAAGAAGTTGGACAGTCATTTCAGAAGCTTTGTGTATTTGGCATAATGGGACAAAGCTTTAATGAAAGAGCTCGCTGTTGTTACAAGTAGGAAGTATTGCAGTACATCATGACACAGTGAGCCTTGTGGGCTGTTCATGCCTAAGGGTTATTTTCATTCCACTAATCTCCAGCACCTTTCTCTGCGCAGGGAATGGCACCAGGGAACTGATATGGATTAGTAACCATTATTCTGCTGGCTTATTTAGAGACTACATCAAGCCCCTAATCTGGTTTGCCTCACTGAAGAAAGATTTACACCACAGAAACTGTGGGAATATCACAGAAATGGGAGTAAGGAGTCAGAGGCTTTGTAAACCAGTGCTTCTACTGACAGGAACCAACCCAACAACCCTGGACAAAAAGTTATGGTAATGTTTCAAACATTGTCTGTCAAGGCAGAAGGATAAGCAAAAAAAGGAAATCAAAGACTGTAGGAAATATGCCAAGCCTTTACATTTCCCTTACTCAGTTGTTGTATCTAGAACTACATGTCTATGCATAAGTTGCTTGAGAATCATATAAACCAAAGTGATCTGCAGACTTCTCAGTGTGCACAATGATATATGATACACACCATTCAAGTACCCACAGAGGTCACTGTTCCTCTGAATAATATCACTGTGATCCCCAACACAGCAAATGAGAGTGGGGCTAAGTACTGGAGAGACAGATACTGGCTAGTAAGGCAGAGTCCCTGCTTCCAAGGTTTGTACTGAAATAAACCTGATAAACTGAGAGTGGGAGAAAATTATGGAGTATTTCAAGTGTTTTGTGGACAGAAACTGAGGCAGAGGTTAAATCATAGAATCATAGAATTGTTTAGATTGGAAAAGACCT